GGGGGGTGCAGCCCTGCTGGAGGAGTAAACATTGGGGCAGGCTTTGGGATTAGATCGCCTTGCCCCACTTAGGTTCATGCACTTTGCATCCTGCTTGTGATTGAAGACGTGAACTGTCAGGTCCCTGCTGCTGTCATCAGGCCTGCTGCTTGCTGCCATGTTCCCTTGTCATCCTAGACTCTTAATCGCCTGAAGCCATGGGCCACAATAGACTCCGTTCTTTGAGTCACCTTGATTGTGGTGTTTTGTCACAGTGACAGAAAAGTAACTAATATACAATATTTCCTGATATTGACAGGAAAAAACAAAACACTCAGATAAAAGGGAAAAACCAAACAGTCCAACTCAGAAATGGGTAAAGACATGACCAGACTTTACCCCAAAGTTATATAAACAAGCTTTAAGGATGTGGAAAGGCATAGTAGTCATTGGGGGAAATATTATGGCTAAAATCGAATAGCAAGACTTGGTGGCAGGTAGAGAGACTCTTTCAGTGTTGGTAAGGTGTAAAATGGTGCAGCTTCTATGGAAGGCAACTGAGAGGCTCCTTAAAAATTAAACAGGAAATCACTATGTTCTCCTCTAGTTTCACTTCTGATTATCCACTCAAAAGAATCAAAAGTAGGATCTGAGCAGGGCTTGGGGTATGGTAGAATATGCTAGTAATCCTGGATCAGGAGTTCAAGATCAGCCTCAACCAGTGGAAATTGCTGGTGATGATGGCTGCAGTGATACCCTGAAGAAATACTTTACTGGGATGAAAGGTGTTTGCCGCATTCAATAGAAAACCAATCTGTGTTACCATGCTCATATTACATGCTACAGGACTGGTGGGAAGATGGATTTATTTATTCAAGGACCACCTTGAGGAAAATGGAGGTGATTTCTCTGTCTTAAACCCTTGTTTGGTGATAGTGGTCGCATGCTAGGTGCTGAGGGCTTTTGGTAGGTACCAAGGGTTATGCTGGGTCAGTGGGTGGAAAGTTCCATGCTGGATGACATCTTCCCCAGGGTACAGTCTGACCTTTTCAAAGTCAGAATTGACCTTGATGTCCTGGGAAGTCAGTGCCAAGTATTTTCTTTTCTGATGAGTCCTATTTGCAAGTTAAATTCTTGTGAGCTGAGGGTGCTAAGGGTCCCCCTCCTTATAATGCCTTGTGGAAAGGATGGTCCTTAAGACAGGAGGTCAAATTCCTCCCAGGGTTCACACTGCATGTTTACAGAGCAGATCAAAAGCTTCATCTCTGGCAGAGCACTAATCAGATGACTTTCTCCTACCTCAGAGTCACTAAACATGACATGGACACCGCAAGTCCACATTTCCTCTGTCTGCTCCATTACAAGAAGGGTGTCAGAACAGAGGCAGAACAAATGGTGGTATGGAGCCAGCCATGCAAAACCCTGGAGCGAGAGAGAAGTCCAGGAAGGCAGGCTGGATCAAGTAAGGACCCAGTAAGAACTGACCTGGAGAGTTCCAGAAACGGCAAGAAAGCTTATTTAGTTGGGCTGTGGTTTGTTTGAAGTGAGTGGTCGGGAATGCAGCCAGGGAGCTGGATGGGGAATAACCAAGTGAACAGGGCAGGGTGAAGATTTTATCCTAAGATTAACGAAGACCTTAGGCAGAGAGCCCCATGGCCTGATCCACGTTTTCAGAGGTTCCCAAGGCCACTGCAGATGAGCAAAATACATCCTGAGATTCCCCAAGTGAGGGACCAGAGCCGCCTTAGTTGAGACTTTGCAGCGCCCCAGACACACTGTTCTCTCTCTGCAGCTCCCCTTGCCTCACTACCCCTAGTGTACCGTCAGCCCAGTTTCCACAACTAGTGTACCGTCAGCCCAGTTTCCACCCCTAGTGTACCATCAGCCCAGTTTACACCCCTAGCGTACCGTCAGCCCAGTTTCCACACCTAGCGTACCGTCAGCCCAGTTTACACACCTAGTGTACAATCAGCCCAGTTTCCACATTTACAGTAAACGGAGGGCGGGTGTGGGCATCAGAGTTGAATTTCCTCTTACTCAACTCCCCTACTCTCCTAGAGTAAGAAATGGGAAGAAACAGACAAAGTCCTCCTGTCACAGGCTCTTCACCCTCAGGCATAGAGACGAGTTAATAGCTCTCCTTAGGTGGAAACTGCAAGTTACCCAGGTGTTTTGTTTCTGCTGCTGCTGTTTTGTTTTTGGTGGGAGGCTGTGGTTGTTAACCAACAAGTCACATGAAATGAGCTATGATATTTAGAGGTAAATATAATTTTCTTAACACCCAGCAGCTATTTTGATTTTTCATTGTATTATTTACTGTGCCTCTTTCTTCTATACAGGCAGGCTCTATGTTGGTCATTCTAACAGCTAACATGTCATCCTGTAGCGACATCATTGACCGCCTGCTTTCTGTGATTATTTAGGTTACCCGCCCCCATCTGTATTTCACTCTACTAGAGGTTTCTCTGATTCACACAAGTTCAGTTTTCTGTATCTCTCTGACTGAGATTTCCAGAGATTAGAGGTTACTGAAACCGATAATTTCACATTAATAGTTACAGAAGCCAGTCCTTGAAGGCAGAGTCTTCCGCAGTTGCTTGAAGGCACCAGGGTAAGGGAAGGCACCGGTGTAGAAACTCGGCTCTGGGCTCCTCTTTGACTTTTACCCTTTGGTAATAAATATGCAGAGACCCGCAGCTGCTCTCTAACAAGTGGGCTGACAAAATGCAACCGTTTGTATTAAGCAGGACCTGGGCCTAATGTGGTAACGTGGGCTGATATTTTAAGAAAGGCTCAAGGTGCGAGGAACCTCCGGGACACGGGTCCACGGTCTAATTCGCAAGCTAAAACCCAGAAGGGGCCCCTTCCGTTCTGCATTCCCCCCAATCCCCAAGGTCGCTTGCAGGAAGGACGTGCACGCCCCTGGAGAAGCAGTGAACTGACTCTCACCTTGGCCTTCAGCAGGGAACACTGCGCACTGTGACACCACCAGATTCCTGGGCTTGAACGCCTAAAGCTTGCCTGCAGGCACCACGGCTGCGTACTGGGACCCAGGGCTGCTTCCCCCTTGGGCTCCGCCCCTCGCCCCGCCCTCACACTGTCCTCTGGCGGCCTGTGAGCAATAGCCCACCCACAACTCCGGCCTGTCAGTGCGGGATCGCGGGACTTCAGCTTCCCTTCCCAAGTCTCCCTGTCCTGTGACGCCCCCCATCCCCCACCCCCCCACCCCGCGCTGCCTGGGCTCCAGTGGTTGTGGGCAGGACAGGTTTGGCTCCTTGCTGAGGGAGACTGGCAGGAAGCCTGTACTGGGAGAAGGGTAGAGGCTTCCTTCTGCTTTGTACTTTATCACATACAGCCTCTGCATATATCCGGGTAAAACAGAACTAAACGCCAACAGCATAGTACTAGGCAATCAAAAAAGGAATGGGCCTTGAATACACCCAGCTCCAGTCCGCAGGGAATTTCCCAAAGAGCGGCCAGTCTCCAAAAGTTATTTACTTCATGATTCCTGAAAGAGCAGATTACAGGAACGGGGAATCAGAATAGTGGTTGCCAGGATTTAGGAGGGGAAATGGCTGCGACTATAAAAACAATCTTTGTGTTGAGGGACGCATTCTTTGCTCTCCTATCCATGACACTCCATGGTAAGACCCTTGCCAGATGTCATCACTGGGGGAAACTGTGAAAAGGATCTATAGGTCCACAATAGTTAATTAAAACTAAATGCTACAAGGCCAAGGACCTCCCTTAGAAGGTGGAAAGTCTTGGAACCAGAGCTGTAGTTGAAGCTGGGGAAGGGAGCTGTTGAGCAGTGTAGTGAACGGTCTGTTTCCAGGCTGCTGTGGTTTGTGCTGCTGCCAGCCCGTCTGTGATTTTGACCTCCCCAAGGCCCCTTCCCAAGCCCTTTGCTTTAATTCCTAGTGTCCTGCAATGGCCCTTTTCAAATAGATCAGAAACTGCATATGATGGTGCTAGCCTGATATCCCAGGTATATATACTAGGAAGCTGAAACAGGAGGGTTACAAGTTCAAGACCAACCTGTACTAAGGAGACCTTGTCTCCAAAAACAAAAACAAAACAAGCAAATAAACAACAACAACAACATCACAATACCGATACAGGTTTCCGTTTGTTTTTGTTTTGGGTTTTTTTTTTTTTTTTTTTTTTTTTTTTTTTTTTTTTTTTTTTTTGTGTGTGTGTGTGTGTGTGTGTTGGCTTTCTGGCTTCCTACTCAGTGACATCTTTCCAATTCAAGGAGTGGTGGTGTGATCTTTCTGCTACCATTTTCCTTGTATCCAGAGGTGGGATATGGCACTTTTACTTCACTCCCCAGCATATTCAGGGCTGCCTGTGAACCCTGACCTGGAGATAGTCTTCATTTGTAACAGAGCTGCAGGTATCTGGTGCCTCAGAACCTGTGGGCTCATACATGACCAGAGTACAGCAGCATCAATAACAAGAACGGGTTGGGCAAGCTGTTCTCCACTGGGGACTAGAAGCTGAATGGTATTCTCTGTAGCTGGAGAGCTTCTCTAGGTCTCGCCAAGCCAACACAGTCCAACAGCCCACTTACAAAATAAACACACAGACACTTATATTATTTAAATTGTTTGGCCTAAAGGCTCAGGGTTCTTGTTAACTGTTCTTATATCTTAAATTAACCCATTTGTATTAATCTATAAGTTGCCATGTGGCTGGTGGCTTACCGGTACCTTACATCTCGCTTGTCATGGCGGCAGCCAGCAGGTCTCTCTCCTCAGCCTTCCACTTCCCCCAATTCTCTTCTCTTAGTCCCGCCTATACTCCCTGCCTGGCTACTGGCCAATCAGTGTTTTATTTATTAACCAATCAGAGCAACACATTTGCCATACAGAACATCCCACAGCACTTCCCCCTCCCCCCTTTTTTTTAAAAAAGGAAGGTTTTAACTTTTACATAGTGAAATTATAGATAACAAAACAATTATCAAGCAAGAATTACAGTTATAATATCTAGTTTATTTATAATAACTAGTCTATTTGGCAAAATTAAAGAAGATATCCTATCTATCTTATATTTCTGAGTCTAAGGTTTCATATCTAATTTATCTTTTCTCATAACTAAGGAAAATTGTATCTAGCTTCAACTACATCAAAGACCTCAGAAGGATATAATATTACCTGAAAAACAGGAGAAGGATGCAAGCAACTTTCGGGAGTCTTGCAGGGTAGACAGAGACAGCTGGCAGCCTGGACAGTCACCTAATGTTCCTTTTAAAGTTGGGGCATCTGTCTTCAGCCCTCAGGGCTAGAGTGTCTCAGTTACTTTTCTCAGAATCCTGTAGAATGTCTGGCAGTTTCCTCTGCGAAGCAGGAACCTGAAGGACCATTTTGTCAAGCAAAGTTTAGTGGTCATCTTCTTATGGGTCCTGCATGTCCAGTCGATCAAGCAGTCCAGGCAAGAACAGTTTCTTGCCCAAATGGCTATTTTTGTCAAGGTGAAGATAAACTCCATATGGAGTGTCTTTGATGCCCATCCTCCTCTCTGAAGTAAATCGGAGCTGCCAGGAGCAGACATATCTCACTGTCCAGAAAGTCTAAATTTTTAAAACATTTCAAATGCCATATTCTGTAGGTCTTTGAAGTATTTGAAGATTATCTATCTATCTGAAATATATCTATGTATACCTAGAAGACTTAACTAACATGGCTATGAGTATGATTATCATAGATGACTAATTATGAATCTATTTTTAATTATTCATTACAATTTTAAATGAGCTATACAAACATAACACCTTAAACAAGAGTAGAAATATACACACAATATAACAAAATTAACTTTAAGTTTGTATCAATAAACTAAAATCTATACCAATGTAAAACATTTCAAAGAAATTGTTGCTCTTTAAAATAGGTTCAGCAGTTTACCCTTTTATCCTATTATATCTATATCATATTTCCTTTTCTTCTTTAGAAAGACATTGTATTTATAATCAACCTGTTTTAAATAAAAATATTGGTTTTTGTCTGTCCCATACCAGAGGGCTCTTCTGATTTGGGGACACAAGAATCTCTTAACCTTTTTTTTTTTTAGCAATATGTCTGGGTTTAGAGAAGGAATGAGCCAATTTCATCTATAAAGCCAGCTTGGTATATTTGGGAATTTGGGCATAGCTTCTTTTACTACTTCCTGCTGGAAGGGGGTGCTGTATCTTATGGGGACACAAAGAAAATTTTATGATTATGGAGTAGTCTGTGAGGGTGTATCGTCTGAGCCAGTTGTCTTGAAACGGTTCTGGATGTTGGATCATCTGGGCCTTGGTGTCATCCGAGATCTTTCAGGGGGTCTTGGCTGGTCAAACCTGATGTATCTTAATCTGGAACAAATCCATAGCCTCTGGCTTTCTGTGGAAACAAAAACAGAGCCTCTTTTCCAAAGCAACATATCCTTATATCCAAAATTTGAAGTTAAGATACCTTA